GCTGCTGTGAAGCACTTCTCACTTTGATTGCTTTCGTCAGGATTTACCCAAGTGTAGCAATTACTTGGAGTTCTTTTTCCTGTCAACACACAATTTCCAAGAGAATTCGTAACAACACAAGCATCTTTAGTGAAATTTACCTGAAATCCAGAGTCACACAGTTGACTGATGCTTATGAGGTTTGCCTTGAGTCCTTGGACAACATTGACATCTGTAAGTTTGGGCAGTCCTGATGCATCCAGATTTCCTTTGCCCAAGATCTTTCCTTTTCTTCCATCTCCAAATGTCACGTTTCCTCCTTTGAGATTTTCTTCAAATGTCGACAACATACTGACATCTCCTGTCATATGACGTGAGCATCCACTGTCAAAATACCACCGTTGTTCACTTGACTTCAGTTCAGAAGTGTATGCCACATTACACCTCGAGATATCTTTTCTTCTCCATACTTGCCTCCATCTCAGGGTGGGTGGTACCTGATAATTTTGCCAGTAGTAGCAATTCATCCTGATGTGACCTCTTTTTCCACAGTAGAAACAAGTGCGAAGTTCACGATAGTTTTGTGATCTTTGTCTTGGATACAGATCAATCTTGATCTTTGGAGTCTGTTGTACTTGTGAGATCACTTCATCTCCAAGTTTTCCTCCTGAAACAAAGTTCCCTACTTTGTTTTCACTTCCTCCGATATATCCAAGCCCAGTATGTCCAGAATCTGTTCGCCCAATTGTCAATAAATGATCCAATTTTGCGGTGCCATTTCCAAGCATTCTCACATTCTTCATGGTACCTTCCAGTTGATTCTGTAAAACGAGAATCTTCTCCTCTTTCTCCTGTAGTTGCTTCTTCAAATGATCAACTTCTGACACTTTTGTATCCAACTGTTTCTTGATTTCCAGAATCTTTGCCTCATTCTCCTTCTGTTCTTTGATCAATCTTGTATTGATGTCATACAACCTTGTCATATCCTTGTACAAATCTTCTTCGGATATCTCTTCTTCAGTCTCTTCAATGATCCCAATGAATGCCACAAAATTTGACATCTCTTCTCCACTTTCTTCATCAGAATCGGTTTCAATCTCTTCATGAGTAATCAGAGATTTACCTCTTGTTTTTCCAAGTGCACACTCGTTCTTTGTGTGTCCATATCCTTTGCACTCATAACATTGAATATCCTTCAGATTTTTTAACATTGCCTCTCTCTTGGCAATGCTAGGACATTCAGCCTTCCAGTGACCTGCTCCCTGGCATTCCAGACATTTTCCAGAATGTCTTGATTCTGCTTTGCCAGTGAAACCCGGTTTTTTCTTAAAAAACCGGTTGAATTTTTTCACAATCATCGCCATGTCTTCCTCTAGTGACACTTGGCTGGGAGCCTCAGATGATTCTGGAACATGAAGTGCCAGACCCTTGTTTGGAGTCACTCCTCTTGGCTTTTCATATAGTTCCAGTTCTAACTCGTGAGCAGCAAAGGCCCCAACTGTCTCTTTGAAACTGATAGTATCCACATTGTTTACCATAGTAAAAGCAGATTTATGAGACATAAACTTTTTGGGTAAGCTTACCAGAAGTTTTGCCACCAGTTGTTTATCTCGATAGGTCTTTCCGAGGACCTCTGCTTCGTTTGCTAGCGCATTCAGCCTGCCACAAAATTCCTTGACGCTCTCGTTTTCTCCCATTTGAAGCATATTGAACTGATGCTTGATTAGATCTCTCCTTGTGCGCTTGACACTTGATGTTCCTTCATGAATCAACTCAAGCGCATCCCAGGCTTCTTTTGCTGACTTGCACCCTTGAATTTGCTTAAACTCATCCTTGTCAACTGTATTGAAAATGATAGTTATGGCTTTTGAGTTCAGTGCTGATGCTCGCTTTTCTGAGAGTGTCCACTCAGATCTGGGTTTCAGAACCTCTTTTCCATCCTTCACATCGATTGGAGCACTCCAACCTTCCTCTACTGAACTCCAAGCATCTTCATCAATTCCTTTGATGAGATTCATAGTTTTCACTTTCCAAAAACTATAATTCTCGGAATCGAGAATTGTGGATCTTCCCAGAGACTGAAACTCTTTGAGTGAGTCCATATTGACTCTTCAACACGTACACTGATATGAGAGGCTCTTTCGCCTACGATCAGTGACCAGCTCTGATACCAATTGAAAAAGTTGAACCCTCAAAGAGTAATGCGGAAAACTAATCAGTTCTATTCACTTGAGAAAGATAGTCAAGTACAACTCACTTTTTGTTGTAAGAATCGTACTTACTACACACACCCGAAACTCCCCCTGAGTTTCTTCCCCTCTCACAATGAATTCTACTGATCAAAAAACCTCACCACATAAATCACTCACCAGAGAGAAGAGATTTGCCCAATCGGTCTCCCTCTCAGACTCGCACTCACCAGATAATGAGAACACACTCACTTAACAAAATAGACTTAGAAATTATGCTCCTTCTCTCTATATCGATCTGCAACTTGTGTCTTCTTTATATAGGCTCCTCCCTTAGCCTCAGATCTCCACGAATTGATTTGATAGACTTCTCCTTGATTCTTGTTGGTTTCGTGTCTATCTTCAAGATCTCATCTTTATCTCTTCAGCTTGACTCTATCTCTTCAGCTTTGACTTCATCTGAATCTTGTCAGTTGCATCTCAGATATCTTCGAGTTTGATCTTTGCCGAATCTTTCTCCTGAAATCTCTCAAAGTTTGTTGGACCTGCAACAAACTTTCAACAACCCAAGATACGTGCAAATATATGCACTAACAGTGTATATATATATATATATATATACGACGTTAAAAAATATGTATTTTCCAAATATTTATCTTTTTTATTTTGAGTTTTACTTGCATACCTCTCTAACTTTGATATTTATAAGAAAAATGTTCATATTGGATTTTTTTTTAATAGATGCTTATAATAATCTTTTTTATTTACCTAATCTTTGACTTCGATCGTTGATGCAGTTGAATAGCAAAATAATGAAAAATCATAATATAATCAATTAGAGGTATCATAATCACACAAAAACGATGCGTTGATTGAGACGTAGACTGCATTTAAAAACGATCGATAACACGTATGTTACAATAATATCATCGTCTGTTGTGTTTTTAAAAAATCATATTCGTTTAAAACTATATTTTGTTTTGGTGAATATATATATGTATGTATATGTGTGTGTGTGTGTGTGTTTATGTCCATGAGCCTTTGAATGTAAGGGGTTAAATAGAATATGGTATGAAACGGACCATGGAGAGAAATTATTGGAGGGGCATATTTGCACGTGAAAACTGATATTATTCTTATTCGGAAACTTAGAAAATTCGTTCTTATTATTAAATCAAACCAGGCAACGTATATAGATGCTGAGCTACACGAAATATTCCATAAGATAAATGAGAAATTTATTTATAGAAGAACATAATAAATCGTGAAACTTTATTTATTATTTTTCAAAATTTCCCTGATTTTTTTGGAGTTTTATCTCAAATAATGATTAAGGAGCATTGATGATGTTATTAGAGATCAAGCAGAGTTTAGAGATAAGATAATTGACAAATCGACACCCATTCGATGCAGACTCATATGCCCAATTTGCCAAGTGGCACTAATCTATTAAATAATAATTCGAAACTTTATACTAACATTATATATTTTTTTGACGGTATCACCACAAGTATGAAACATAAGTAATAAATATATATATATATATGCATCATTTTTAATTTTTAAACGTTTCCTTTTTTTTAATCATGGGTTTAATTCACACATGTTTATTTTTCTCAAGAATATTTGCAGAACTGAGAAATTAAAATCAGAGAATAATTTAAATTTCAGGAAAAATGATATATTATGGAGATACCAATAAGGAATCTACATTAGATTTGCAAATGGTTGGATACTGGGACCCATTATATGCGAAGCTGACTCGGTATGAGATTCCTAAGCCGCAGATCGACATGTCTATAAGAACCGCATGTATTCAAAAATCTATCTTAAGACATACTTCAAAAATATGATATATATATATATATATGCATAAATATGAAAATATTGTATTGAGTTTATAGATAGATAGAATAACCACATAAATATTGTATTGATCTAAATTGTTATAATATTTTTTTTATGAGAATATATTGATGAATTGACCAAGGTTCGAACTCGTAGCTTTTAATTGGTTATTTTACCATTTATTCTGTCTACTTTGGGTCCACTTTGGACAAATTGTTATAATATTTATTAGACAAAATTTGTTATTTTATCTAAGAATAGTTTAACCTATGAAATAAATATGCAAAATATATATTTCATTTCGAATTCAAATCTTAAATTTAGAAAGTGTATAATTTAAATCATATAGTTGATTTTCGATTTTGAGATTAATGTGGTAGTACCCATTACCAAAAAAAAAATTGTTATCCTTACCCAATATTTCGCAGATGCTTTATATGGTGAGGTTGTAACTTCTCACCTTCGGACAGTAATCTCATTAATAATAGGTCATCCAAAATTAAAATTAAAATAAAAATAAAAGCTTCTCAATATATTACTGATCAATATGCGCTATTGTATAGTTGTTGATAAATCAGAGATTCAACAACAGCGCATAATTTTTCTTCTTTTTTTTTTAAGTACAAGAAACAAATATTTCGAAATAATTTGAACTCATCAAGGCCTTTTGTCGTCCTTAGGTAAAACCCTAGTGGCTAGAATTTACTAAAATATCATTTTTACCGACCAATAAATCGAATAGAGGGGACAAAAAATAGAACAAAGACAACGAAATCAAAACTTAAAAAACAAAACAAGAAATAAATATCATTTTTTTACCAAAAAAACTTATAAAATTCGAACCCTCTTAAAAAAGCATATAATTCCATACATTGGATTAGCTCCACAATAAAGAGGGTGATTAAATCACGGTCAACGCATAATAATGCTTTTATATGTATACCATGGATGGAAAAAATATACAAACATAGCCTCACACATATGTATGTATATGTAATGGACACTACACGGCTGCGGCCGCTCTCTCTCCATTGCCGGAGCCAGCGTTTGCGTTTGCAGCTGTGGTCACAACCGCCGCCGACTCTTTCTTGGCCGCAAACGCACTTTTCTCTTTCTTCTCATCCTGTTTCATCTGCTTCTCCCTGCACTCCGAGCTACAAAAGGCCCTATCTCCCCTGCAAATCCAAACACGTTAATCATACTTAATTTGACTAATCACGGATTAATTATCACAGCAAAAATAGCACATATGCATGTTTTTAAAAACCCCTTTGACCCCATAACCAGTAATTCAACGAAAGTTTAAAACTTTATATTTAATATACAGTTTTGGACACTTATATACGTGTATATATGTGTAAGTATACCTATACATATATATGTCATGGCCGGGAACAAGTTGACGCTTGCAGAGATAGCAGGATCTGAGGAAGTGAGCGGCGTTGGAGTTGTAATCAGCTGAGTGCCTCCTCTGGAGACCTCTCGGTGAGACCGCAGCCAAGAGTCGTTGATCTAAAAGCCCATGATGACCACGAGGCTGATCGATGGCTGTTGTTAGCTGACCGTTCTGACCGTACGGTATCCGGCGTAGATCGACGGACGGCGATGGTTTCTGCTGATCCGACGGCTCTGATTCTCCGGAGAGATTCAGATTCAGATCTATTGTAATCTCCGACATACTCGTCGTTCTCTTCATCGGCGGTCTCTGTCTCTTCCCCAGCAACATCTCGTTTATGTTTTGTTCTTTGCTCCGAACAGAGAGAGAGAGAGAGAGAGAGAGAGAGAGAGAGAGAGATGGAGGAGGAGGGAGAGGGGAGATAAGGAAGAACCATAGACTGAGGAGTGAATCTGGACCGTTCATTTTTTTTCTAATCTGGTTTTATTTGCATCATGTGGACGCCACGTCATGATTCTTCATAATCGAAATGCAAAATTTTAGGTGCATCATGAATCTAGTAAATTTTTTAAAAATTTCGATAATTAGTTATTTTAACATTTATTGAATTAAAATCAGTGTAATGTTTAATGGAAGCTATTCATTATTTTAGTTTTTATTTAATATTTTACATACAATAAAGTGAAAATAAAAAATAATAATCATTTGAGGAGGGCCCATTGAGCCCAATATTTAGTACATTAGCTTTATAAATTACACGTCAGCAGCGGTTGCCCCTACAATCCATTGTCTATTTCTACGAGCCTTTTTCATCGCCCCAAATAAAACTCCAAAATATAATAATTACAAAATTATAACCTTTTTTTTTTTCATCTGTTGAAAATTATAATAAATTATTTATTTTTTAAAAAATGGACATATTTTTGGTTAATGTCACAGAAAAAGACGAAGAAACGAAAGTTTTGTTTTGTGGTTCCTAGCGCCAAGGCCTCGGCCCCACCATTTCGACGGCAACGTAAATATACAATGGATGGCCTTTGCCGTTTACTCAGTTTATTTTTTTATTCTCGAGTTTTAATGTGAAAAAGGTTAAATTATGGTAGAGTTTATCGTATTGTGATATACTTTTTTTATATTAAATTTAGTTTTTATTTGTATTAGATAACTGGTAAATTATAATTTTAAATTAATAACAATTCTATTATAACATTTTACTCGAGATATAAACATATTCCGAGTGCAAATTACACATGTGAAACTAATTGGCAATACTCACTAAATGTGACTTTCTATCTCTACAAAATTTCATTTATTTATTTATTTATTAATCATAATGATCATGATTCATGACATGAGTGAGAGCATTGGTCCATTTCAGTGTGCATGAAACGAGAGAGAGAGAGAGAGAGAGAGAGAGAGAGAGAGAGAGAGAGAGAGAGAGAGAGGTTATATGAAATTATTGAATCGATTGGTACGTTTTTTTTTGGACAGGAAGCTGTGCCCAAATTTTCTGATTGGTCCCAACCTAAATATCAATTGTAATTGGTTGTAGGCTCCACGATGTTCCGCAACTTGTCGAAATACTTACTATTCACATCCGTATTTTTCGACACGTGAAAACAAAATAAAAACAATTCTTTTGTAAAAAAAATGGTAAATATTTCATTGTTTGGTGTTATTCCTTGAGTAATTCATTATCCGTAATTTTTTTAATCTTTTTTTTACCGCACAATCATATACACTTTAAACGGTAAAAATATTAATACTCACCAACCAGCTCCATATTATTATCTACGTGATTTTATACGTACATACATACACCTGCGCGGCTAGGCTACGCCAATCCACCGTATTGGGCTGGGCCTAAACTAGGCCAATTAGGGCCTAAAAGAGTAAATACGACGTCGTACCAAGCTGCAGAACAATAACTAAATGATACATATATGTAAAGCATTCCATTTGAAATTAATGCTGGATTTGGTAAATAATCCACTATTCACCCGTATCAATGAGCATAGGGATCCTCGAAATAAGAGGGGAGATGAAAATAAAATAAAATAATCGAGTTTTAAAAATATTTATTATGTATACCGTTTTTTTTTATAGCATTATGCATCAAAGAAACTTCATTTTTAGTTTTTCTAGCAAATAACACGAATTATCAAACTTCATACACTAGGAAGATCTATAACAAAGTATTGATTGGTGGTACTAAGGATGTCCATTAGATTTTTTTCAATTTTTAAAGGAATATAAAAAAAATCATATATATCTTGTTAAACGATCTATTAAATAATAAAAATTATTATCTTTTTTATGAGGGATCAGTATTTTGTATTTTGTGGTTAAAATCATGTTAGAAACAAAAGACAGAAACTAGAGAGGCATTTGAAACCCTAGAGGGCAATTTTGTAAATTCATCATATTATCGCTACGGTAGGATCCATGGGTGAGCTCAGCGTCAGCTTGACCTCTCTTACTACAGAGACAAGACAGATTTGCTCTGGAACTGACAAATAAATTCAACTGCACAACATAAACAGCTTTTCTATTGCGTCTTACATGTGTTCAGTTCTTCACCAATTTTCATAACCATCATCAACATCAACATCTTTTTCGATTCAAACCACTTCCACGAGCTTGGGAGAACAAGAAGCCACGGCGTCGGCCACGGTTAGGAAGATATTGTCGTGTCCGATCATGTCGGCCAAGAGCGACACGTGGATCTTGTCTATCACAGCCGATCCAGGATTCGCCAGAATCAGCTGTTGAAAACCATTTCATTCAATTTTTTTTTAACATAGTTGTTTTGATTCTGTACCCATGTATCTATATGTGTGTGTATATATGAATGCGTACCTGAACATCTCTTTTCCGGAGAGCTCTAAACAAGTCTTCTAGGGCATGAATCCCGCTCGTATCGATGTCGGTAACAGCTGATTGTGCATGAAATCATCAGATGAGTTTAGATTCTCCTACACAGAAATGTGTGTGTATACGCGTATGTATACATGTATGCATAGAACATGATTTCTTACGTGACATTTCGATGATCAGAAACTGGATTCCGGGTAAGTTTCCTGCTTGTACCTTCTCTTCTTCTTCTGTCAACCATCTCAAAGTCCTACAGGAACAACCCAGAAACAGAAACATCGATTTCTTGTAAAACACGTAACCGTTGAATTCAACCTGATACAACTTGTTCGTCGAATCCTGTATATGAACATGATTACCAGTTTACTGAAAAAGAAACTTGTCGTCCTTACCGTTCCCTAACATAGTTGGAGTTGGAGAAGTAAATCGCAGAATCGACACGGATGATGAGAACTCCAGGAACCATACTCGCTTCGGGATACTGTTGAATGTTCCTGTAGACAGCGGTTCTCGGTATCTTCCCAAGAACCGTGGTCCTTGGCCTTGTAACTTGCAACAGTATCTTGGCAAATGAGATGCAGACCTAATCATAGAAACATCCACAAAAAGAGAAAGACAAGAACGAAAAGATTAAGAACCCTAGAGAGAGAGAGAAAGAGGGAGAGGGGTTCTTCTTTCTTCTTTATTTTCTTTTACGTACAGCGATCAAGAGACCGATCTCGACCGAAACGAAGATGACACCCAAGAAAGCTCCCATGCAAGCGACGAAATCGAATTTGTCGATCCTCCAGATCAGAACAAATGCGTTGATATCGATTAGGGAAATGACCGCATTGATGATGATAGAGGCGAGAATCGCATTGGGAGTGTACTTGAAGAGAGGGGTTATGAACAACAATGTCAAGAGTACGACAATGGACATGATTATGTTTGATACAGTTGTATGGCATCCAGCCATGAAGTTAACAGCCGATCTTGATAACGAACCTGAAGGAAAAAAAACTTGATGATTAATTAGGGTTTGTGTCGCAATCTCTAATCTGTTCTTATGGTATGATCGATGATATATATTACCTGTGGCGATGTAGCATGAGAACATCGAGCCGACAACATTCATGGTCCCCAAAGCCACCATTTCTTTGTTACCATCGATTTGGTAATCCTTCATGGCAGCGAATGTTCTTCCGATGGCCACAGCTTCCTGAAAAATAAAATGAAAATTCGTATATAGATTTAAACATATTAGGGTTTAGATGAGGAAGATGTATGAATGAAATTAAGACGAATATGAAATTAGTGTAATGTACCGTTAAGGCGATCATGCCAGCAACTACACCGATACGTACACCCTTGATGAGATAACTCCCAGAGAAATAGATTTGATCTACGGACAAGGGATTTATGCCTTTGTCCAGATGTTCCACCTTCACTCGTCAAGGAGAAAACATATCGATCAAGACCGAATTTCTTGCGTCGCAAGTAACTCGAGTTTAGTATAAGAAAGAGGGTTTAGGCTTACGATGGCGACTCCTTGTTTGTCGGCTCGGGTTATGAAGACGAAGAAGGTAGATATGATGATCGATAGCAACGGAGCAATCGCTGGAATCCAGAACCATTTCCTATCTTTCTTTCCCTGTTATAAATTATAAGCATCAAAGAGATTGATCAGAACCGTTCAACCAAAGATTCAGACATGTATATATGTGCCTTACGATGAATTTCGCGGCTAGAAGAAATGCCAGGAAGGTGGCGCCGATCACTATAGTTTGCCAGTGCCACTACAAAATGAAAAAAATTACATCGATTTGTATTAAAGAAGATGCTAAAAAAAGTGCGTGATTGAGATTTAAGACAAAAAAAAATGGTCTGAATTGTTACATTGTGAGGTGCTGATTTGAAGACAGATCCCAAGACAGCAATTATATCGGTTTTCTTGGTGAATTTCTTTATTCCAAGGAACCCTTTGAGTTGTTGAAGGGAAATGGTTATTGCGACTCCACCCATGAAGCCAACAACCGCGGCATGTGACAGGAAATCGATCAGGAATCCCAATCTGATAGTACGAAAACACTTTTAGAATCCGAGAAAAGAGAAGAACTTTGATTCTTAAACCGAGGATTTTACCTCAAGAATCCGAGAGCTGCTTGGGTAATGCCGGCGAAGAATGTGGCCGTGAAGGCGAGGCGGAGATACTCATTAGGGTTAGTGTTTGGATCAACCTCGCTCTGAAGCAAAGTTCCTAAGAGAAGTGAAATCACAGCTACCGGTCCGATTGCTATATCTCTTGAACTTCCCATACAAGCATACACTAATGGCGGAACGAAGCTCGAATCTGGGTTCAGTCATAACAAGAAAAATCAGATTCTAAATCGACATTTAAGTTTTAGATTGCCACAAGTACGTAGCTCGAGTCCTAATTCAAATCAAGAACTTACATAAACCATATTTAGGGTCAAGATTCGCCAGCTTAGCATAGCCAATATCCTGAATATATGTCATGGAAAATGCACCTAATCAATCAGCCACACAATTAGTGGAAACTGTTACTTAGAGAACAAGAAAAAGAGTGGCGACCTGAGGAATGCAGAGACTGGCTATGGTTAAACCCGCGATTAGATCGCCACGAAACTTGTGCAGATCGTAGGTTTTTCCCCATTCGAAGACGGGGAACACGGCCTGCAGACCGAGCATGAACTTCTTCGATTTGGGCTGATCCTTGAAATGTCTCAAAGGGTCGTCGTGGAAGAAGGTTTCCCGAACATGATGCATGAACTCCTTGAACAGGTTTTGCTTCGGAGGAACACCCACCTTGTAGATGTACGGTCCAGGTCCATCTCCTTCGACAGGGTTTGCTTTGGCCGACATTGCTTTATGTTTTACAGATTGTGATTACAACCTGCAATTTAATTTCAATTAATAAGATCGAGAGAAAATTGATAAATTCACGAAAAGGGAATTTTGAAAAACAAAACGGCGGATAAGCTAGTTATAAAAAAAACAGCAGATAAGCTGTAGCGTTAAAAGTGATAAACGAATTCTTTGAAAACAATGGTGTGAGAGTAAAGAGATTTGGTCGAGCGATGGTTTTGGAACAACAACAATGACAAACCGTATTTGTAATTAGGTTTTCCATATTAAGAAAATACATGTAAGAAGATGCAGTTACATAACTATATATTAAGGGTGAAACTAGAGTACTCTATCAGATAATTACGTTTGGAAGGGGTTAAATTTAAAACTAATCCAAGGAGCAAATGCCACATGGTAGGATGGCCAAAAATTTAGAATGATTTAGTATGCTAAAAGTTAATAATAATAATAATAATCATATTAATAATCCAACTGTATAAAAATACGATAAACCACAAAAAATATGGTCTTAAAGTAACATGAAATATCTCCGTTACAAGAACGAGAAAATTATGCCCTATCTGTTCAACAGAGAGAATTCAACGGAAAAAAAATACAAATTATATGACATCAACACTAAATTTGGAAAACGATCGGTCAGCTCGAATTTTTTATATATATGTATATATATGATTGTATAATTTTATGAAATACATATCCAAGATCCCAAACTTGATTAGTTTAACCTATAAAATGAGATGATAAAACCGTATATTTTGTTTCGAGTTAAAATCTTAAATTTAAAGAGGAGACGTATATTTTTAAATTATGTAATTAACTAACCTTCGTCTCCAAAACAAGTCTAAACTTTGTTTCACAATATTCGATTATCAAAAAAAAAATTTCACCAAATACGAAGAAGGTGAAATCGTCACGAACCTGGGAAAAAATTTTAGATTTCCACTTCTCGCCTTCTCCTCCAAGATTTTCACTTGTTCTCGTGTATACAATATACTATTATATATGTGTTTGTGTATAAATAAAAAGGGTAAAAAAAAACTTAACGAGAGAGAGAGAATCGAGATTTAAGTGGAGGAAAGTGGGCCAATAATAGATTAGATGTAATCGATCTGGATCGCCAGATTTTCACTATTTCCATTTTTTTTACTGAAACCACGAAATTCACCGAATCTGGATGGATTCATATTCAGGTTCAGTGAGATCCTGGCTCTCTTTTATGGTAAACGTTTTAGAATTTGCAATATTTGTTTTTTCCTGGATTTTTTTCCTCGTATATATATAAAAATATCTGATCACCGTATAAGTTAGAAAATAAGTTATCTAATTAAGGAAGAAAGGAGTGGAGATTAAAAAAAAAATTGCTGGCTAATTCTGGGCAACCAAGCAAAAGGATGAAAAAAAACTTTGAAATAGTTCCAAAAAAATCCCCAGACATTAAGATGATTAAGATAATCATAAATATTTAAATGGGAGAGAAAATTATTAGAGAGATATAGACAATATTGTTAAGATATATCCGATAGGGAAAAAAAACAGGAGAAGAGAATCTGTCGTTTTCCACAGAGAACCTGAACAGACTGAAGCGGATTAAGATCGGAAATTACATAAATGCCACTGGTTCTGCCACGTGTTGGAGAGGCGATCTAGTTGGGTTGACTTTTCCTATGTTCGAAGGCCCAGCTAATTCTGAATGGGTCACATTCTTGGTGGGCATCGACCACGTGTTTATCACGTGCGATATCGCACAATATTCGTCGGCCATATATTGGGCTTTAGTGGCCTAATAGTCTAAGGCCCACGTAATGGGCTGATACGAAAAATCTTTAGGATATTTTGTCGGAGAAACGACATCGTTTATTAAACAACATTTTCGCCTCATCAAATTCGAACCGAAGAGATCAAAGGATAGAAATCTTAGGAAGAGAAAAAAAAACCTGAACGATGGGAGCAGAAGATGGAGTGAAGCCACAAGGAAACGGCAATCCTAAGCCAACCGCCATTACGGAATCTCAGTTCCTCGCCTGGAAGCGCCAAAAGGTCTCTTTATATATCTCTCTGTCTCTTTCTGTATTGATCGTCTTTCTAGGAAATGAAGAACCCTAAATTTGTTTCTTCCAGTTAAAAAAAAACCCATATGGTTAGGCTGAGAAAGTAATTTCGGAATCTCTGTCTCTTTCTGTGTGGATCGTCTTGCTAGGAAACGAAGAACCCTAAATTTGTTTCTTCCAGTTAAAACACATATTGTTAGGCTGAGAAAGTGATTTCGGGATCTCTGTCTCTTTCTGTGTGGATCGTCTTGCTAGAAAACGAATAACCCTAATTTTGTTTGTAGGCTGAGAAAGTAATTTGGAAGGAAAAGGTTGAAGCTTTGTCATTTAACACGTAATGGGTTATGAGAAACTTCTTATCTCTTCTAAGAACGGCTGAGATCATCAATGGCTTCTGGGATTGGACCTGGGTTCTGTTCTGGGAAGGTTTCTCTGTTTTTTTTCTTTTGGAAACCTTGGGTGTCTCGTGTTAATAATCTTCATGGAGCAATTTTCAGAATTGTTATGGTAATTACTTGTTTTTACATATTCATAGCTTCATCTGACTCATGTTTCAGAGTTATGTTACGTCTTATTTGCTCAGACTCAATCTCTGTCTTCTCCTTTGTTACCAGTTTCGTTCTTTGCCGATTTCCTCTCGTCTCATGTTCTTAACCCATTTCGGAGTGGTTTCTGATATATGATTTATTGATAGTTTATGTGAATGAAGCTGAGGGAAAATATTCTGTTTCTTGTTTAGGTTTTCATAGAATCAGATCCCTTTGTAAAACGTGAAGTTATCTTACATTTGTTGTCCGAATCCGTTATATATGTGAATGCAGTTTACATGGTTCTCAGCTGTAGCCGATTTCAAGTTTCTACCGTCTCGCAGGACTCTGATACAGCGGCTAGGAAGGCTGAGGCTGAGAGGAAGCGGGCGGAAGATATAGCAGCCGGGCGTGTCCAGATGAACGGCCGCGAGCTTTTCTTGCACGAGCCCTCGGTTTTTGATAATAATCTCTACTGATGTTTTGTCATCTCCATTAACTAAATCTTTTCTTGTTGGATCATTTTTATGTTATGTTAATGTTAATGTCTATGACTCTTCTTCTCTGGTTTTAATTTAAAGGGTTTTGATTAATAATATTAGCAATGGCATGATGATTCTCCACATATTCTATTGCAAACGATAAAGAGAATATTCTATAAGATTTTTATAGTATTATGTAATATTTAGATTTCATTTTATTTTTATTTTTTAGATATTTATTCTAATTAACTAAGATATCATACAATTGTATTCTATTTATATAAATATTTTAATTTTTTTCTTTGAATAGTAAAAAGTTTTCAATGATATTATCTATTTAAAGTTTAATCATCACATTTTAAAACGGAACAAGAGAAAATTTGAATTGTGTGGAATGAAAATGGAACCAATATATTTAGTATCCGAGTCTTTGATAATACAACGTTAACCTTTGTCAATGTTCTAACAAAGCCTATGTTAATGATTTCTATGTCCGATCCCATCATAGGGGCCGCCATTGTTGTAGACATTGAGTTTTATATATATATATATGTATGGTTCAACATTATATATGTACTTAAAAAAACCGAAATATTGTATAGTCAATGATGTAATCCATAACCATACGACCCCTTCGTTCAAAGAACAAAATCCTTCAATCTCTCTCACGTTTCTATTTCTCCTCCCATCCATTTGTAACCAAATCTCTCTCTCTCTCTCTTTCTCGCTCTCGTATATATATGTACCTAACCTCTCCTTCTTTTATGCTTCTCGCGTCTCTCTCGCCCATGCATTGCTCGTATATACATATACGCGCATTGCCTCTATTGATCCAATTTTCTTGTTCCCAAATCATTTCAAAAGGAAAAAAAAATAGAGAAATTCTCTCTAGAAAAAAAATGTTTAGAGGGTTCTAATCGATTACATATATATATATCTCTTTGATATTCAATCATCGTTTTGGATATCGAATCATCGAGATGGGAAGGGTTAAATTGGAGATCAAGAGGATAGAGAACACGACGAATCGGCAAGTCACATTCTCCAAACGTCGAAATGGATTAATAAAAAAGGCTTACGAATTGTCCATCCTCTGCGATATTGATATTGGCCTCATCATGTTCTCCCCTTCTGATCGCCTCAGTCTCTTCTCCGGCAAAACGAGGTCCCTTTCTGTCATTCGATCTCCTCCTCCTCTGTGATTTAATCTCTGTGTATGTATGTATGTATGTATGTATGTATGTATGTATGTATGTATGTATGTATGTATGTATGTATGTATGTATGTATGTATGTATGTATGTATGTATGTATGTATGTATGTATGTATGTATGTATGTATGTATGTATGTATGTATGTATGTATGTATGTATGTATGTATGTATGTATGTATGTATGTATGTATGTATGTATGTATGTATGTATGTATGTATGTATGTATGAAACATTCTTGTGAATTTTGTGCTAGATTTTTTTTTATTATCAATTTTTGCGGGCTTCGGATATTGAGTTTTGGGATTAGTTTTTCAATATTGTTAAGAACTTAATCTCGTTTTTATGCAATGTTTCAATTAAATTAACCAACCCTTTAATTTTTGTTGTTGTTGAGACCAAATTTTCCTAGAATTTGATGTTTCTACCAAATTATATTGGCATTAATTAATGTTGCTTCTTCCATGTGCATTGATTCCATACATACATACGTGGATACATGCATGCATGCATGCATGCATACATACAAAAGAATTGAAATGTGAATGTATATGTATATATATATATTTAATTTGCCTATTTATTATGTAACCATCTTAAGTTTTTTTTTTTGGGTAAATTTAGGATCGAGGATGTGTTCGCGAGATACATCAATCTTCCGGATCAAGAAAGAGAGAAGTATACGCACACAATCTCCCTATATCTATTGATATTTCTTTTAATTATAATTACTTTCATCGTTAGAATATTCTTTTTTATTTTTTTGAAATTGAGGTCTGTTTAATTATATATTTATTTCTTGTTTCAGTGCTCTAATTTTTCCGGACCAGAAGAGACGTCCGTACGTGTAACATCTTTGCTTTGTCAATGCATATAATATATTTAAATTTTTTTTAATTATCCTAAATATGTGTATTTTCGATTTTGCAGAGATATAGAAAGCAAAGAGGTGAGACGACTAACAATTGTGTATACGTCATAAGTTATATCCTTTGTAGACAAAAATAAACCCATAGAACTATATTATATAAGCATTTTGTGTTTACTTAGGATATATATATATATATATATATATAATATTAACTAAATATAATGTATTTTATGACAGTATCTCTTAAGGATTTTGCAGCAACTCAAGACTGAGAATGATATTGCCCTTCAACTTACCAAGTATGGATTTTCTTCTCTTTTTCTTTAAATAATTATTTCCTTTACATCTTTAATATATATATATATATATATATATATACGCACATATATATATATATATATATTATCGTTAACTAATTCAATCTACAAATGATTTTTTGTCCACGATTTTGAAAAAGTCCTGCAGCTATCAACTCTGATGTCGAGGTAACATTTATTACTTATCTAATGTCAAAACCTTTAATTATTTTATACTCTCAATTTTCTTGATCTATATATTTTTATTTTTTAAAATTTTAGGAACTAGAACAGGAAATATGCAGATTACAACAACAACTTCATATGTCAGAGGAAGAATTGAGGTCTAGAATAATATTCTCTTTTTGTTTTTTGTTTTTTTTTATCTCTGACTATATAATTACAAACGTATAAAACTATTTTCATGGATATATTTTTTTTTATAGAATTTGATTTTTTTTTATATAGAAAATACGAACCAGATCCGCTAAGGTTTACGTCGATGGAAGAGTTTGACACTTGTGAAAAGAATCTCCTCGACACTCTGACACGTGTCGTTCAACGACGGGTACGCGTAAAAATACCCTTTGTTAATCATTATTCATATTTAATTAATTTAAGCTTAGATATTAATTACTAATAATTTTTTTTTTCCAATTGTGTTGAGTTGTAGGAATATTTGTTGAGTAATCAATTATCTTCGTACGAGCCATCAACAGCAATGCAGCAAAGCATGGGAGGTTCCTTCGTAAACGACGTCGTTGCATGGTTACCGGAAGGTGGGCCCAACCAGGCCCAAATATTTGACGCTTCGGCCCATTCGAATCACCTAAGGTTTACATTTAAATCATTTCATTAGTTGTTTTTCTAATAAAATATTTTTCTTCCAATGAGGTAATTTTTCATAATGTATATTTAATTAATATATTTATAATGGTTAGGTTTATTTGTTAATTACAGGGATATGTCATCTGCAACATATGATCCGATGTTGCAAGTGAGTAGCTCAAGCTCAAACCAAAACATGGGTGAATGCCACGTGTCCAATGGAAATGGAGATCTATTCCATGATTGGGCCCAGGCATATACTTCTACGGCCCTTCACCAGCCCACCGACATTCCTCCGGCCCTTTTCCCTCCTATTCAGGTTTTTGCCCCCTTAATTTTATTTTCTTACAGTAAAGTCCAAATATTTACAAAGACCACCACAAATGCAAAATAAACTAGAACTTAGCATGCAGAGTTGAATTTTTCAAATTATTTTTTACACTTTTATGTTTAAAAATATTAGTTTTACAGGTTTTTTCCCCGCTTTTCCCTCTTACTCACATTCTATATTATCATAATTTTTCCACTACATTGGTTAATTTAATTTAATAATTTCGGTGATGGTAGCATGGACTGATGGGGAATGGTATATCAGAGATGATGTCGGCGCAGGAAGGCGAAATGCCGATTATCACGACAGAGGCTCACGTCGATCATGAAGTTTCCGACTACGAAACCACACTGCCTCAACTCAGTAGCCAATAATCTTATATGATTATCGCTCATATCTTGTATTATTTACGTATATATACCATGCACTTTTACTAAAAACAAAATCACTCATCGTCAATAATATCAAAGTTATTCTCCATATGTATATGCACTAAAATTATAATGAAATCTATTATATATATATTATAAACTGTTAAGCAATCGACAGAGATTAATATCTAACGTTTGAATTTACATACGAGTTAAATTGAATTATTGTCCACAACCCGTTGATTCATTTGCATGACCAAAATGTAAACCTCACAAGATTTTAATAGAGATTAAGGATTATTGGTTGGGATATAAGTGTAAGTATGTATAGGAAAATATAGGTGGAAATTCAAGTAGGGAGAATCGAAGTTGGATAGTCTAGGTAATTCACTAAAAAGGAAATGTATTTCAAAGATATATAAAATATTTGAAAAGATTGTGATATTTTATATAATATTATAAAAATATAATCGTAAATATCTCATTTAATTAATATAAATATCGTAGTTATACCATCATTGGAATTTCACTCGTATTATCATTTTATCTTAACAGAAGCAATCAGAAACGAAAGAAAACACAAAAAAATAATCTGTCGGTACAACGCTGTCGCAAAAAAAAACTATCACTAATCCGTCGCATATTTCGAAGAAACTGTTCTATCGGTGTTTCGTCGTCGCAATTTGCAATGGAAATAATCTGTTGCGACAGAATATTCTGTATGTAATTCGATCGATCTTTCACACCTCACGCCCTCTCCTCGACTCGTGTCTCCCACGTGTCCGTGAAACCTCGTGCCTCCTTCGTCCCTGGTCGTCTATTTACAGAAGTCTCTCAAACTCAATGAGGTAAAAAAATAAATTTTTACGAAGAAAATAGTTGTAATTGAGGATATCGTCTGGGTCGACGGCAAGATGTCACTGAGGGGTCAACAATCAGATTTTTTTTGATCGATGGTTTGAGGGTTACCAGTTGAATGGTGTCGATTTTTTAAATGATATGTGGAATTGAGGTGTGAATTCTCTTTCCGGTACAATGTAGAAGCACATGTCATGGTGATGCTGAGGAGTTTGGTGCAGAGTATACGAATCAACGACGAAGACTGGTTTGAAAGTCAGGACAACGATCGAAATTTTCCAAATCATCGGTAAGTTGTAATACTTGATATTAATTTTGCAAGTGAATAAATGCATTCTCCCTAAAAATAGGTTAGATTTATCTCTATAATTATATCATCAATATTTGCAATTCCATAAGTCTAACTAAAATTATAAGATCACATACATTTTATTATTTAGAAAAATAATGTGAAGATTAAAAATAGGATTATATAGTAAGAGAAAACAATATATTCTTAAAAAAATAAAAATAAAAATTCAAAAACATAATATATCTAAACGAATATAACGGTTTATACATCATATATACTATAAAATACGGCATTTTTTTTTCATTTGAGATTGGGTTGCATGGCCATTTTTTTGGACTAATGACTTCGAATTACTAATCCAATAATATGGAGATGTCTCACATGGAGTAATGTTTGAAATGTACAAAATTCTAGTGATAGTATTAGGAATTTTCGAAATTCTAGTCCAAAGTGACGAACGGATAAGCTTGACTATGATTTAATTTGTATTTATAAAAAAAAAATTATCTTCTCTTAATTCACAATACAACAATAAATGGTATTAAGTTTAATTGAAAAGAATATACGTTACAAAAAGAATAATGCCAGACAAATGTGCAACATTATAAAAAGGAGTTGGACAAGTGTACTATAATCATTTAAACCCTTCCCCACCAACCACACACACGCAAAAAAGGCCAGATATATAATATATAATAATAATAATAATAATTTATAAATGAAATAAAAATAAAATTAAACCAACCAAATGATTTATATTAATTCATGCATTCTAGTGAGAAAAATATCTAAAAAATTTGTAGAAAACGTTTCATCACTTGAATCAAAGCTATCGACAATTTCAAAGCAAATACTATCGAGTCCTTCCATTTTAGTTTTGAAAAATATATGAAGAAAAAAAGTTCTCACCAGAAAATAAAAAGAAAAACCTAGTTTTGCTTCTTTTAGGTATGGCCTTGCTGACGTGGTTGAGTCTGGTGAGAGGGTAACGGCTGTGAGATCTGGATGATAAAATGGAAGTGTTCAATTGGAGAATCTAGGATGTATGTGTCAGAAGATGGACCCCACTTCCTGTCTTAAGTCAACAGAAGGAAAGCTCCTGACGTGTCACGGATACGGACAAGGCCACGTGTCGCAATCATTTCTGGATACCTTTTTTGTCTTCACTCTCTGTCCCCACGCTTTTCATTGACAACTAAACCTTCCGTTTCATTTCGAGTAACTTTTAAACTTTGGTCCACTTCCATATCTCTAATTTAATTACCATTTATTTATTAACCACCATTTTTTTTTTTCTGTGTTCCGTATTCTGCTAGTCTTTGCATTTTTGGTAACTATGAGTTCACATTTTTTTCCAAATGAGGTTTGTACTAGTTTCCTAAGTTGAAATTTGTAGATATATATATATATATATATATATATATATTTGTGGAAAATGCATATAGAAAGAATCTAATTTTGAATGAAATAAATGATTTGTTATTTACCAAAAAAAATAGTTGGTTCTAGTTTTTTATTTAGTTGAAAACTATGTGTAAAAAGAGATATAATGTGATATTGACCCTTATTTCAAAAGTTAAAAATTATTTTATAGGTATGATATAATTTAACATTTATCAATAAGTAAAATATCATAATTTCAAAATTGTATTCATTTTATTAAAAACTCATCACGTGCGGTACGATGTTATAAATAGAATTTTATACACAAATAATGACCGTTATTGTCGGTTTTTAATCGTAGAAATAATAACAAATTATTACTACTACAACGATCGATCGTATCGATATTTCATATTTAGACATTATAGTTTTAATCTAATAAAAATCATATTGGTTATAAAAATAAATAAATATTATCTTATAATTTATATTTATTATTTTTATGTTTACTAAAACTCAAATCCAATTTTACAATCTAAACTTTTATATTTTTTTAATATAAATAAAAGATAAAATCTTTCACTTTCCAAAAATAAGTAAAGATAATTTGTGGCCCTCTTTTCACATTTATGCAAATACATAATTTAATATACATATATAATGTGTTTGTAATACATAATGCTTATATATACACACATGTACATTACCTGCTCGTATTCTATTCAACTACATTAGGTACTTATATTTTCAACTCTTCCATCAAATAAAATGTTAATATTCATTTTTAATTATCGGATTTTTACATAGTTCGGAATTATATTTTAATGAAATAGAGTGTTGTCGTAAAAATATTCAAATTTAACCCTTTGTTGTATGAAAATTGAAGTTGAATTACTCACAAAAAGGAAGAGAGAATCTTTCAATTAAATCACATATAATATGACTTTTAGGTGGATTTTTTTTGTAGTCAATTAATGGTTTCATATGCACAAGCATATATAGATATATATAAATATATACAATAAATATAAGCCTAAATATATACAATAAATACATATATGTATATGTGTATTTATATGCGCGTGGGTATATATATGTCTATGAGCATATGCAGAGTCGCACACTTGCTTCTTGCTACTGATATTCTTTCATCACTCAGTACGTAGCCACTCTCTCCTGTCTTCTCTTCCTTTCGTCCCTTCAAAAATCTACACTGTAATTTTTTTTTTTATATAATTTGTAGATTTCATATGATGAAATCTCTTTTTTTTCCTCTCGCTTAATTTTCTCAAGTTCTTCATGTTTCAATTTTTTTTTGGTGTGTTCATCTATAAGCTTTTACGAGGAAGAGACAGAAATCTGGTTTGATCTTCGTTCACGAGGATTTCTAAACAAATTGTCTCTTTTTTTTCACCTTTGAGCTTAATTTTCTCTCAACTTTATGCGTAATTTTATTTTTACCTCTACCATTTGATCTTTTTCATCACGTGTGAATTCCCCCCCCCCCCCCCC